CTGTATATTCAGTTTTTGTACCACTTAGAATACTGCTAATCTGTAGACAATGTTCACACAGTCCTCAACACAGGATCTACAACACAGAGCATGCTGAAAATACCTTGTGTATTTTGTTGTATGTTTGAAGACATTCATAGTGATGCTGAGAAGCATCCATTGTGCAGTATAAGTATATGTACATCCATTATTTTCAATGTCTGTTAATCCCAGGGAAGCATGCATTGAACTGTAGCCCTCTCACTCCTACAAAACAGAATCCCATAGCACTTGAGGGACTCGTTATTTACATAAAGGCCTTGACTCTTATTTTGAAACAATTGCATAGTCTGCATGGATCTGTGATGGTTCATTCACATTTGCAAGTAATATTTGATGCTGCAGTTATTAAGTGATAAGCACACGAAGTTCTTAAGCAATATGCATTTTTTGTACAATGGTTATAGGTTCAGTCCTAATATATTTATTTATTTATTGAGCTTATATGCCGCCCATTTAGACATAGTCTACTCTGGGCGACTCACAAACACGTAATAAAACAATTAGTATAAAGCAACAATTTCCTCCATAGCACAAAACAGAATAGATAAAGAAAGAGAGAGAATTACGTAAAGTCTGGAGGGAAGGCCTGTCTATATAACCAGGTCTTGAGTTGGTTTTTGAAAATGCCCAGTGAGGGGGGCCATCCGAATCTCGGGGGGGAGCATGTTCCAAAGCCTGGGAGCCACTGCCAAGAAGGCCCGGTGTCTTGTTTTTTCTTTCCGGCCCTCCCTCGGCGTTAGGCTCCTCAGTCGCCCCTCCTGGCTAGATCGGGTGATACGAGTAGATCTAGGTGGGAGGAGGCGTTCTGCCAAGTATTGAGGTCCTAAACCATTTAGGGCTTTGTATGTGATCATTAGAACTTTGAAATCAATGCGGAATCAAATGGGCAGCCAATGCAATGCGGCCAGAGTAGGAGTACAGTAATATGTTGGTGTTTCCTTACCCCACCTAGAAGTCTGGCTGCTGCATTCTGCACCATTTGTAGTTTCCACATTAATCTCAAAGGCAGCCCCACATAGAACGCATCAAACGCATCTCGAGATTACGAGAGCATGGACCAAGGTGGTGAGTGCACCAACGTCAAGAAAGGGATGCAGCTGGGCAATCCGCCAAAGATGGAAATAGGCGGTGCGGACCATTGACTCCACCTGAGTTTCCATGGTGAGCGACAGGTCCAGATGTATCCCCAAGCTGCGAACCTCATTCTTAGCAGTGAGAATCACCCTCAGGACCTCCATCTTATCTGGGTTCAGCCTCAGCCAATTTTCCTGCATCCATTGCAGTACAGACCCCAGACAGCGCTGCAGGGACAGAACAGCATCCTCTGTTGGAAAGAAGGAAATTTAGAGCTGAGTGTCATCAGTATACTGATGGCACGATGCTCCACACCCCCTGATGACCCCACCCAACGGCCTCATATAGATGTTAAACAGCATTGGGGAGGGGGCGAGCCCTGCGGAACTCCACAATTGAGGCTCCACGGGGCTGAGTCCCCCTCCCCAAGCTGGACTCTCTGAAGACGATTCTCCAAGAAGGACTGGAGCCAGTCCAACGACAGTCCACTGATTCCCAGCTTGGAGAGACTCCCCAAGAGGATACCGTGGTTGACGGTATCAAAGGCAGCTGTGATATCGAGGAGGACCAACAGAGACATTTTCCGTCTGTCGGCCTCCCTCAATAGGTCATCTAACAGGGCAACCAATATTGTTTTTGTACCATGGCGTGGCCTGAAGCCTGACTGGAATGGGTCCAGGGTGTTTGTTTCATCCAAATACGCCTGAATCTTTAGATACTGTTGGGAAAACCTAAAATTCAGCAAAGCCAAATAAACAAAATAGAAAAAAACTGAACTACATGATCAGCAGTCTGATTCAATATAGGAAAACTTTATATGTTTCTGTGGATTAGAAAATGCAACTTAAAACGTCAGGTGATATAACAAATTTATATTATCTGTACATATCTGGAAAGAACCCAACTTATTTCAGGCAAAACTAAAATAAAATGTCTTCACCAAAATTAAAAATGTGCATCTTTAAAATAGCTTTGAAGGGGTCCAGTTAATACATACAAAATATATCTTAGCCTAATCGTAGCTATCTTGCTTTCTGTAACTTGCTTTGCTATATGAATGTTTTGCTTAGGCAGGCATGAATGAACAAGGGAGGAGGGGCTGTCCGTCCAAGTTTCTTCAATTTACAATGAAGGTATTTCTAAATTAGAAGTCTATCTTTGAGAAGGGGGGTGTCTGACATGGAGAAATGTATTACCGCCCACAGCTAATTTCATGCAGGAACTTATACCAATTATAGAATCCTGTCCCATTTCTCCCTCCTCCTTCCAACCCCCTTAGCCCCTCTTTCATGTTATGCCTTATAAAAATGTATACAGTACTTTTGTATCTGGGGCACACGTCTCTGCATGTTTTTTGCATGTGAAGTTTGCACCTATTTGTTTGCTTTCATCTGAAATTAAACAAATAACTACTGAATCTCTCCGTCTCTGGATGATTAATTAATTAATGCATTAGAGACAGGAAAAACCAGGAAATAGTCCTGGTACCCTTCAGCTTCTTTCTTGTATTTGGGCCATAATTCCTTCTAACACAGATTTCAAGACTTTACATCCTGCTACATATTCAGAGCTGCATCTTTCATGCACAAATATATTTATTTAATTTATATCCCGTCTTTCTTCCAAGAGAACCTTAGTTCCTAAGGTTCCTCTTTCTTCAACACTATTCACTATTAAAGGCAGAGGTCCAGGCAATGTGTCATTTCAAATAGAACCAAATAGAAGTTGTTTATTTTTACAATCAAAGTCCTTAACTTTTAACAAAACACCCTTCTTCATTCCTTTTCAACCGCCAACTCTCTCTCCACCCACACTCCAAAATCCCCAATCTTCAAATCCAAAATTCTCAATCTAAACCCCTCCTCCTCCTGAAAAGAACCTTCTATCTTGTGACTCCGCTTCTCCTGCACTCTAATTGGCCCATGCAGATAGTACATGAATATTCATGAGCTGGGCAGACGCCACAGTAACGATGCAGAACGCAGAACCATGCAAAAGTACTTTTTTGGGTAATGAATATAAACCAATCTTTTTGGAGTTTCTCAGTAAGTGATTGTTTCAGATTTGAATATTGAGGAGCACTGAGCAATTTTCTTCTGAAATTCTTTGGTATGTTTTTGGAGGACAGTCTCTAGCGCCTCTTTTTAAAATCCAGTTTGGATACTGGGCATTTCTCACTCCATACATGGCAAAAGCTCTTACTGCAAAATTTAAGCATCACTTTACTTGCATGAGATATTGATGCAACCCCTTCCTAGTAGCTATTTAGTTATTAATAAATAGCTTCTACATAAAATATGCTCAAATGTTTTAGATTCTTTTTTAAAAAACAAAGCAAAACAGAATTATTAGTTTTCAAGTCGCATTTTCCCATCAAATATGTGGACATCCAATTTTTTACGAGGTTCTTTCCAAGAAAGTGCGAATTAAGAGTCAATATTTATAACGGAAATCCCAATGAGTTCAGTGGGACTCAATCCTAGGTAAGTAGGCATAAGAAGGGTACTACCAAATTTCTGCTATATTCGAACTGTTGTGCCTATTTCGCCCTGGGGCCAGTCATTATGTCAGTTATTACTCAGGCGATGAAAGCCTACGCTGACCTTAGTACGTCGACAAACAGCATCAGGCACACACTTCACCGTTTAAAAATACAGGCCTTAGGTCACGTTTCTTTTTCGACTTATTGCGCCTGCGCAATTTATTTCCTTTCCAATCAAGCTGAATTCCAGAATAAAGAAATGTATGCGCATGCGTCTCTTGTAGAATCCTTTTCTGTTCCGTTCCTGTGAGGGCGCACGCGCGGAGGGTTACTGCCTCCTTCTCCTCCCCCAGCTCAGTTCCCCTCATAAAACGACCAAGTGTCTGCCGGTGTTGAATGAGAGCAGTGGCTGAGGGAAGCGCTCTCAACCTAGACGCGAGCCCGTTGGCTCACAGTATATTGTCTCTGTTCTGTTTTGGCACTCGGCCGCTTCTCTCTCGTCGGCAGGTGAGTGTCTGAGGAAGCGAGTGAGCGGAGCCAAGAGCGCTGTGGTGTCCGGGTGGCATCAGTGTGTGGGCGAGCAGCTGTCTTTGCCGGCCCCGTGGGCGCCTCACCAAAGGCCCTGAGGGCTGCCGCCTCCCCCGCTGCACAGTTTCGGTTGGTAGCCGTCCAAGCACCTTTCTTTTCCCCGCCCCCGCCCGTTGTGTTTCGGCATGGTGTATTTGTTATCCGGGATAGGCTGTGTCCTGGCAACAGCGGTGGGCTTCTCCCCTCCATCCACCCGCTCCTCCGTTCCTGTCAACATGGTCTTGGGTTGTCTATTTAACCTCCTCAGACATTCCCCATCCGTTCGCTCAACGGCGGCATGCTCTGGAATAAAGGGCCCATGGGTGGGCCCCTCGGAGAACTCCCGTAGCCTCGTTTCCTCCTCCTTAATCTTTCGTTTGTTTATATGGATGCGACGAAGTTTGAATTTTTATCGGCTGTAAAAACTTCAGTTACATAGATACAAATTAGATCAGCAGTAACCACCGCCACCAGTACTCCAATCCACAACTGATAAGAAACATACGTGTATGTGTATAACAGTGTAAATAATATATTAACACTTAAGAAATACAGGGAGTTGATTATCACACGGTTGGCTGGTCTGCTCTTGTTTAGGATTATACTTACATTTGGTATCTGCATATTTGGGATACATGTACTTGTGGCTATCCTTCGTGTTTGTTAGCTTCTTGGCCCCCTTTTGCTGAAAGAAAGGAAACCTCTATGAACAATTTAGTATGATCCCACCTTAGGACCTGTGTATAATCATTGTGTGCATACCTAAACACTCATCTTTATCTGCTGTAAACCACCCAGAGTGGCCCTGGGTGCCAGGTGGTCGCTATATAAGTTAAATAAAGAAGAATAATCTACTGATATGAATGGCCTATTATGCCTCTGATAAAGTAGGCTTGTGTCTATAAAAGTTTCTGGTACTGTGAGCTAAATAACTGTAGAGGTGCCAAAGGACTCCTTGTTTTTGCTATGGCAGACAGACATGGTCATACTTGTGGAATTAGATTTCTCATCACCCTGTTCTAGAGTAGGGACAGAGTGTGCTTTCTTTAATTTTTCGTGTCTAACTTTTACACAGATACACACAAGTTTTGGTTCTTCTCTGATTAGGTTTTGGGCTTTGTAATCAAACTGTTTTGCAAGTTCAGTTCCCGCACTCCCCCTTTCCTTTTTTGACACTGCTACGTTTTCTTCTTCAAGCATGAGATAATTTGAACCGCTGTAAATTAATGTCATTGGCCCTGTGTTGGGGACTAGAGGTGACGGTTTTGCATTTCGCATGATGAGATCAGTCTTCACTACCTTGTCCCTGGAACAAAGAACTATGCCTGGTAGCTTCTTTCTTGCTTTTTAATTAAGGGTTTCATATGCTGTGTTTTGAGAAGGAAAGTCTTGAACATATCAACTAAGCTGAAGGGGCTTAGTAACTGCTCTTATACCCATGAGATATTTGTCTTGTGGACCAGTGGTTTTACTGCATTATAATTTTGAACAGTGATAGGTAAAACTCAACTGTTTTGAGCAGAAGTTCATTTCTGCAGGTTCTGAAGCTCCTCCTTCTCCATCCAAGTGTTCTATTTGTCTCTAGTTTGAATCAGTTGTTTAGGTATCTGGCTGCAGAGCCAAAGGTTGGGAGTTTGGTTCCACACTGTACCTCTTTGACAGGGACTGGGCTTGATCATCTATAGAGTCGAAGTGTATTGCTTATATGATGAGATGCTGCCCTATGGGAAGAGAATGCCCTCTCCATCCTTGCCAAGGCTGGATGTGCTTCAGAAGCCATAATGACTGATACCTAAAACACAGTTTTAGTCAGGGCTTCAAAACTATTATTTTTTTCTCATAATAACCCCAGGAGCCCTAGCCAGCATAACAGAGTTTTTGGTCTTGCATTGCCTGCAGGAGAGTAAGACTGGAGAGAAGTTGAATATCTTCTGTTAGACAATGTGTTTTAAAGTTATCTGTAAACTTGCTGGCTCTTTGTAGAGTGAGTGTTGTTGGATGTGGTTTGGTGTCTCTCTGGATGGAGAAATAATACCCTATGGCAGGATGGACATCTTTCACTGGTGCAGTACTGTTCATGTATCTTGAGACCACCATTCCTAGTTAACAGTCACATTGTGGTATTTGCAGCTACCTGCAATTGCTAAGTCACAAGAACAACACTATTGATGAGGCCAATAACAAATGTGCTACTAGGAGTCAATGCTGATGACCTACGTGCCATTCTTTGTAAACCCCACTAGACATTTTAAAACTAATTAACAAATTTATAACTGTAATTTTACAAAATAAAATATCTTCAGGATTAAATTCTAACAATGAACTTCCCATCTCTAATGTTTAAACTAATTTTCAGACCTACTTTTTTGAGTTTTGATTTTAGTTGTATTTATAGTCACAGAGTATTAGGAAAAGTAGGTAAATTCATATATCACTATAGTAGTTGGCATAATTACTTTTCAAGCAGCATTTTATGAAAAGAATCCCAAGAATGTTTTCTATGGCAGCATCTCATGACCTTGATGTGGCAGGTCAGCACACTGCTGAAGGTGCAGGAAGGAACAGCAAGGTAAACAACTATTTTATGCACAGTTTGTCATATACTTTTCTCAAAGGAATGATTTTTGGCTAGTTGATTCTCTTAGTTTACCATGTAGATCTCCATAAGACCACCTCTTTTGGGCTACTGTAGGTAATTCCCCAAATAAGGCTTTTTATGAAACATTCCAACTCAAGCAACCTATGTTCTGCCAAAACATTTGATCATATTTGTTTTTTATCTGTATGACTGAGCAACACATTAATGAGGGCTTGATGCTAGAAATGAGACCTATTTTGGTTAATGCTTCTAGCGTGTACACTTGCTGATTGTATAAGTAACAATGAAACAAAACATAGAAGAGCCACTTTCAAGTGCAAGTATGTGAATTACCAACGGGCCTTTGTATCCATCCCTCACTCCCACAGAGCACAGTAATTCAATATGTTGTTTCTAATTTCTCTTTATTTTATTTTGGCGAGATAATATGTTCCCTTTTTAATATTTCAGCACCTACAGTGATGCCTCGCAAGACAAAAATAATTTGTTCCACGAGTCGTGTCATCTTGTGAAATGTTCATCTTGCAAGGTATAGTTTTCCGGAATGCATTGAAATTTAATTAATGCATTCCTATGGCCGAAAAAAGTCACTTACCAGGTAGCCCCCGGAGACCAAGGAGTGTCTGTAACAAGCACCCAGAACGCTGCCCCCCTCCGCCCGTTGCATTCATCTGCCTCTTTGGTGTGCGCAGGGCTTCTCCCCCGGATGTTTGAGTCTGGCTGTTCTATTGGATCCTGGCGCTAGTTCCTCCTAAGGGGTGTGTGAGAGCAGAGTGCCGAACAGCTGAGAGGTGGCAACCAGCTGAGAGGCGGCAGCCATGCTGTGGTCGTCTCCGCTGGTTGTTGCCTCTCAGCTGTTGGGCGCTCTACTCACACACACCCCTTAGGAGGAAACAGTGCCAGGATCCAATAGAACAGCCCCTCCGCCCCCTCTCAGCTGTTCTATTGGACCCTGGTGCTCCTATGGGGTGTGTGTGAGCGCCAAGATCCAATAGAACAAATGAGAGGTGGGCAGAGGGGCTGATCTATTGGATTCTGGCACTCCTAGGGGGTTTGTGAGCACCAGGATCCAATAGAACAACTGAGAGGTGGGTGGAGGGGCTGTTCCATTGGATCCTGGCACTGTTTCCTCCTAAGGGTTGTGTGTGAGCAGAGCACTGATCAGCCGAGAGGCGGCAACCAGCTGAGAGGCGGGTGGAGGGGGGCATTTTATTAATAATAAACCCTGAGAGGGTTGCCGCCTCTCAGCTGTTTGGTGCTGTGCTCACACATACCCTTTAGGAGGAAACAGTGCCAGGATCCAATAGAACAGCCTGACTCAAACATCTGGGAGAGAAACCGCCCCATGCGCCAAAGAGGCAGATAAATGCGGCGTGGGCAGGTGGTGTTCTGGGCCGCTGTTACAGACGCTCCTTGGTCTCCGGAGCTACCTGGTAAGTGACTTTTTTCACCCATAGGAATGCATTAATTAAATTTCAATGCATTCCTATAGGAAACTGCACCTCTCAAGATGAAAATTTTTGTAAGACAACACGTCTTGCAAGTCACTGAAAAATTTGCGAAATGCTTTCATGTTGCGGGTTTTTCGTTGTGTGAGGCATTCATCTTGTGAGGCATCACTGTATGTTCTAAGTTTACATTTTCCTTTCCTTCCTTAGATCTTATCAAAGAGATCTGACTTTTCCTTCTTGTTTGTTTCTATTTCTTAGCATGATTATTGTATTAGCTTTCTTTGCATCAGCTATTAAAAGGTTGCATTTGGGATTCTGACTTCGTGTCTCTTACATTTTACTTTTGCTTCTTGCCTGTCCTTAACAATTTAAAGTCTCAATGGTCATCCATCAGTGTTTTTCATTTGTTTTGAATTGTCTTTTTGCAATTTTTCCTTGATAATATCAGTTTCAACCCATAGTTCTTGTTTTGTGTTCAATTTAGTACTCATAAGAATTTTAACCCCCTTCATGGATTGCAGCCCCTTCATGGATTGCTGCCTTGTCGTGGTGCAGGGGCTTGAGTAACTCAGAGAAGCTATGGGCTATGCTGTGCAGGGCCACCCAAGACGGACAGGACATAGTGGAGAGTTCCGACTAAACGCAATCCACCTGGAGTAGGAGCTGGCAATGCCACTCCAGTATTTTTGCCAAGAAAACCCCATGATCAGAAACAAAAGGCTAAAAGATATGACACTGGAAGATGGGCCCCTCAGGTCGACAGGCGTCCAACGTGCTATTGAGGAAGAGCGGAGGACAAGTACAAGTAGCTCCAGAGCTAATGAAGTGGTTGGGCCAAAGCCGAAAGGACGCTCGGCTGTGGACGTGCCTGGAAGTGAAAGGAAAGTCCG